TTCCGGCTCCCCCCCGCTGTCGCCGCCTTTGTGCTGAGATCGGGGCTGCCCACCGACCGAGTGAAACTGGGGGAGAGAGGAATTCCCCCAATTGAAAATATTTTTGATGTTCGTGGGTTTGCGGATTTGGAAGGAAGGTGGTGGTGTAAGGAGGGGTAAAGCTGGTGGTGGGGCTCGAGAAATGTCGATGCTGTGTGGTGGTGGTGGGGTGGGGGGACGGAGAAGAAGATTTTTTTCTTTTTTTTTCTTTTTTTTTTTTGTCTATATGTAATTTAAATATAAAAGAATTAAAACTAAAAACATATAAAAACTTTTAATATGACAAACTAAAAAAAAATGCTTATAAAATTAAAATTAATTATGTTATAAAATTTGGTAAAATTAAATTAATTACAAAGTTTTAAAAAAATAATACATAATATATTTATAAATCAAATATACTTTACTAATTGCTGAAAAAAACCCTAGGGTGTTTTTGTAATTGTACTTGCAGTCAACTCCTAAAAGCACAATAGGTGTTGTGAGCTTCGAATTTATTAACACAGGGGGGTTTTAGTGAATTTTTTTTTGACAGGGGGGTATTTGACAATTAGAGATAAGATAACACAGGAGTAGTATTTGCAATTAACCCGTGAAATATATTATTTACCCCCTAATATATAAAAAAACGTCAAACACCCCCCTATTTTTAACGGTTAATATTCAAACTTTTAACGTTGTTAAATTTGAGTGTGCAACGATTCTTTTACCCTGCTTTATGTCTGATATAATCCCAAATTATTTTAGGTGTATTTTTGTGGATTATTGACGATTTTTACAAACGATGGTTTTTTGTCGATTTTAGTATTTGCTTTTAGGAATTTTCAGTTTTCTTTTTCGAGGAATTTTCCCATTATAATATGAAAAACTTTGTTTTTAATTGGCAATTCTTCATATGATTTTATTCCAATTTTAAGGTTTCTTTTAGATTTTAGGGCTTTTAGTTTTCTTTTTTGTGGGTTATACATTCATAATCTGCAAAGCTTCAATCTTATTTATTCAACTTTTCAATTTTTTTACAAGGAAAATGACTAAAAATAATATAAAAAAATGACGGAATAAAATGCAACATTTCTTTGCAATTGTCGGTCAAAGGGTTTGATTAACCGAAATTAGGCGAGAATCTCGGATGGATGGAACTTGTCCAACGAATTCTTCTATTTCTTTTCTTCCAATTCCTCAACAAGGGCTCTTCAAAGGCCTGATTCGAGCCTTTATTATTCAATTACAACACGAACAGCTCCATTAATCTCACTCGCTTTCTCTTCTTCCAGTTCTTCATCTTTGAGCTTGCATAGGATCGTATCATAGTGCCATTCTTCTGTTTATACTGATTTATAAAATCCCACCATTATTCATTAGTGCATTGGATAAAATCCCACCATTATTCATAAATCACATGATGTATATAAACCACACTGTAGTAATCACGTATGACAAGTTTGACCTGAAAACTGGATGCTTGATGCGGTGATAGTTTATGTTTCTTGTTTAGTTTTGTGGTTTTTTGAATACTGCATTCAGTAAACTTTGTCGAGTAAAATATGACAATAGGCACGTGTTCAATTGACCTAATTTGAATTCTCTTGAGTCGAGTTCGTTAAACATGATTATTTTAATGCGATCTCGTATGATTTTACAAACTAGTGGATGAGTGTGAAAGTATATCCACTACACTTATATTATTGGCTCAAATTATTTTATTATAGGGCATATTAAGGTCAACCTCTTGAGGTAAGGCTAAATTATGAAAAAAAATCCTCTTGTTTGGGTAATTACAGTCATCCCTCATTTTAAATATTTTTATATTAACCGAACAAAATCGCATATTTAATTCGGTAAATGGTATTAAATGTTGGCGTACCGCAATTTTGGTTTGGTTATACCGATTTAACATTCCTAAATTTACCTCTACAGGGGTATTTTCGTAAGATAATACATAGTTGAGAGATAACTGTAATTATCCAAACATGAGGGATATTTTCATAGATTAGC